GCGCCCACGGTGGGCGTCGAGTTCTATAGCCGCGCTCTGCAGCTGCAGGCCGGGCCGCGCGTCAAGCTGCAGCTCTGGGACACGGCGGGCCAAGAGCGCTTCAGGTGCGCGGTGGGGCCGGGCGCGGTGGCTGGGAGGTGGGGTGGGGGAGGGGCGAGAAGGGGGCTGGGGTGAGGGAACCCCAGGTTGGGGCGGGGTCACTGCCTGTCCACCTGGCCATGGCGATCCCTCGGAGGCGACAGCTTCAGTGGCCCAAGTAGAGGTCTTGGAGTCCCTGGATCTGGGTCCTTCACCCTTGAGTCAATTCATTCTACACATACAAGTGAGACTTGGAGGAATGAATGACCTGGATGCTGAGAGAGTCCACAGGGGCACAGAAAGGAAGGTGTCAAGGAGATGGGAAAGGAAGAGAGAGATCTGTGTTGGCCTTGAAGGATCCCTAGGAGTTTGCCAGGCAGAGAATGGGAAAGCAAAGACCTGCAATCATGAAAACATCAGGCGTCCTCCAGGAACGAAGGAATAGTCAGGAGAGTATGGGAGTAAAAACCGGCCATCACAACATTGTAAACTGACTATAACTCAAAACAAAAAACAAACCAAAAAAAAACAGCCCCTAACTGGGGAAAACACAGTCTCTTGGGAGAGACACAGACACTAGGAAAAGAGAAGCACAAGGCAGTGTGAAATGAGCTTATAAAGAGGGGTGTGAGGAAGTCAGTGGATGGGGGTTCCGGTGTCTTGAAGGCATAAGTTTCTCCCAACTTACTCCCCCAACCTTCAGGTGCATCACCAGATCCTTTTACCGGAATGTGGTGGGTGTCCTGCTGGTCTTTGATATGACAAACAGGAAGTCCTTTGAACACATCCAAGACTGGCACCAGGAGGTCATGGCCACTCAGGGCCCTGACAAGGCGATCTTCCTGCTGGTTGGCCACAAGAGTGACCTGCAGAGCTCCCGTTGTGTCTCAGCCCAGGAGGCAGAGGAACTGGCTGCCTCCTTGGGCATGGCCTTCATGGAGACCTCCGCCAAAAATAACTGCAATGTGGACCTGGCCTTCAACACCCTTGCTGAAGCCATCCAGCAGGCCCTGCAGCAGGGGGACATCAAGCTGGAGGAGGACTGGGGGGGTGTCCGTCTCATTCACAACATCCAGATCTCCAGGGCCCCCAGCAGGAAGCAACACCCAGGTCCATGCCAGTGTTGATTCCGGGAGAGAAAGGGCTAAAGCAGTGTCAACCTCAGAAGTGCTGGTGGAATAGGGAGAGTTAACATCTCTGTGGAGGGCAAATGGCAGAATCTATCCAAATGGATAATACAAACAGTATTCTGGCACAGTCATGCCTCCTGGATTTGGGGGTTTCAGAGCTATCCCCTTTCCACTAGAAAGGTCTAAGAGGCCAGGTGTGCAGCTTCTTTACACCTGTTTCCACCATTGTCAGAGGAGCTCATAAAAGACCCCACCTCACAGGGGGTTCTGGGCATGAATGAGCTGACGGATGGGATATGCCCAGCCTCCGCCTCCCACACAGTGAGAATCAAATGGCAAGAACTGTCATCACTGCTCTTTCCTCTCCTTGCCAGGATGCAGCCGTTTCTGGCAGCATCCCTGGATGCGGAAGCTGAGCCACTCAGCGTGGGGACGCTGCTGTACAGGTGAGGGTGAGCGCAGGGAATTTCAGGCCAAGCCAGCCTTCAAGCCTCCTTAGGTCCTCAGGTTTGGATGAGTCCTAAAGTGTGCCCTCAGGCCCAGGTTGCTGCCCAGTGCCCTGGAAGGCAGGGATGACCGTGAATAGCTCCTGTGTTGGGCACACAGAGGACACTGATTGGCCACCAAGATTTCCCCTCAGGGCTGAAGAACCAATATCCGACTCCCCACTGCACTCCCAGCTGCTGCTCAGCTTACAGCTCCCCCCAGGGCAACCCATATTCAACCCATGTCAATCTTGGAACTACTGTAGGGCGGGGGTGGGGAGTGTTCAAAGGCCTGGCCCTCTCTCCCTAACTCTAGACAATTCTGAAGGTCAAACCCAGCTTCATCACTCCACAGGGTGGATTGAGGCCACTGTTAAGACATCACAGCTAAATTCTCCTACTCAATCCTGCTTCTCTTCCTTCCTTCCCTCTAAAGCATATGTTTATCTCAAGAATTCCCCAATAAATATCTGCACACTGATCTCCTTCTCAGAATCTGCCTCTTGGGGAACTTAACCTGCAACAGAAATTGTTGCACTTTTGTCCAGGGGCAATCACAGAAGGCTTCCTGGAGGGAAGAATCTCAGCAGGTGTAGAGGGGATGTCATTGTGCCAGTGGGCATGGGTAGGGCATGGGCAGCTGCACACAAAAGAGCACAACCACGTAACTCACTTTGTGACCTGGAGCCAATGACTCTACCGCCTTGAGTCTCAGATTCCTCAGTAACACGTGACTGAAAATCCCTCCTTCCTGGGGCTCTTGGGAGGCTTTCAGTCGGGGTGAGTGTCTTTGTTTTCCTCCCCATGGCAACCGGGCTGGGGTGGGCCTCTGTGCACTGCCTCCTCTTTTTAAAACATCACTCATCCTTCTGACAATCTTGCAAGGTCGGCACGATTATCTCATTTCACAGATGGGAAAGCTTGGGCCAGGAGAGGGAAATGATTTGCTTTAGAATACATCATTATTCCTTCATCAAAAATGTTTTAAAATGAGCATCTACTCTGATCTGGGCTCTGAGGAAACAGCAGTGAACATGACAGAAAAGCTGTCCTGGGGCTGACATTCTAGTGGAAAAGAGAAAAAAACTAGTAAGTGGACCTAAATGATTTTCAGTTGTAAGTGCTCCAGAGACCACAGATCCAGGGCGATGGGGCTCCTTTAGAGCAGGTGGTCAGGGAGGGCCTCTCTGAAGAGATGCCCTTTGAGCTGAGACCTGAAGGAGGAGGAGGAAGAGCCAAGAACAGAGATCTATGCAGAAGGAACAGTGTCTGACATTGAGTGGGCACTTATGTACCACGTGAGGTAGACAGGTAGATACTATTACTCCATTTTACTGATGTGGAGACAGATCCAGAGACTTTAAGTGAAGCCAGTAAGTGAAGGATGGAAAACAGATGTGGTTCATTCAGTAAATCTGGGCCAGCTCAGTGTTCCACCAGCCTTGTCTACCACCTCGGGCCAGCCCGGAAGTTCTTACCTTATGCCTCAAGGCTGTGGTCCCACACTCACAGGCCCCCTCAGTGCGGTAAAACCTCTGGTGACTTTGATGGGTGTGATTCTGGCCCAGCAGTAGGAAGCAGCCCTGCCCAGCGGCTAGAGGAAAGGCAGACAACAGGAGTGGAGAGTAGGGAAGAGGTCAGAGGGGCAGGCCCACTGGAGGGCTGAGCCTTACCTCCACCACTGTTCAGAAGCAGACCTTATCTCCTGGGATCCTAGCTGCCAAAAATGGGGCAAGCTTTGCAGTCAGACCTGGGTTTGAATCCCAGGTTCACTCTGTACAGTTGTGAGATCCTGGGGAACTCACTTCATCTAAGCCTCAGTGGGTTCATCTGTAAGATGGGGATACTACTACTTAATTCACAGGTTTTTAGAATTAGATGAGAAATCAAAGGCAGTACTTGCCACATAGCAGGAATTCACAAGATGGAAGTTTCCTTCTTCCCCTGAGGGTTTTGCTATTAATCAGTTAGGGAACAGAGACTACCAAATTATACACTTTGGGGAAATAAAAAGGATTCTAGACTCTAACAAAGTTCTTAAAGGCTGGGACGTGGCCCGCAGAAGCCCCAGTGTTGGAAGAGGCAAGCTTCGCATTGCATAGCCTTTGCTCCTGCAGGTACAGGCCCCGGGTTGGGCCTCAGGCCAGCAGAGAGAAGGGACATTCTAGCAGCATATGGGCACTATGGTCTGCTGCCCACGGTCTTTCAAGCTCCAACTTGGGAACATCTCAGGATGGGTATAGAACCAGGGCCTCTATTTTAGGGAAGTTCTGCTTCTGTCTTGAAGGGACCTAGTTCTGCAACATGGTTTCAAATGGCACATTCTGATGTGTCCCAGAGGTGTCCCAGAAGCTTCACTAAGCCTGGGTCTGGGCATGTCCTGAGAAGCCTAGACCGGGAAGCCCTGATCGCTTTTGGGTTCTGGCTCACGTCTCTCACTGCAAGTCTGAACCAGCCCCAGTCGCGTGGTTTGTGCTGCAGCCCTGGCCTCACTTCCTCACTTCTCCTCCTGGCTGGCCTCCTGCACTACGTGGATGCTCTCTGGCAGTACAGGGTCCGCATCTTCCTCAAGGAGGTCCCCCTCTCCCTACTAGGAGACTCAACCATAGGCAAATCAACCTTGCTGAGGCACTACACAGAGGACATCTCTGTCGAGGGCATCTCCCAGACAGTGGGAGTGGACTTCTCTATGCACTTTGTTGGGGCAGAGCCTAGGCGTCCAGGTGAAGCTCCAGCTCTGGGACATAGCCAGCCAGGAAAGGCTCCAGTGCATGGGCCCTGGGCTTGGCTCCTGCCCTACCTTCTACACCACCCACCCCTGAGAGGGAGAGCCCACCCATCAGGAAGGGAAGGGGCAAGAGAAGGGGCCTTGGAGGCCACGAGAAAAATGAACTCTGGACCAAGAGCACAGGTCTGAGTCCTGGCCTGCCCAGTGACCTTGGGCAGGCCACATGACCTCTCCAGACTCCATGTTCTTACCTGTAAAATAAGAGGCAACCCTGGGTGACTCAAGGGGCTTTTTCTTTTCTAACTACAGGTAACTGCCTCCCTCCTCCCTGCTTCATCTCATGCAGTGGGACCTTCTCCAGAATGGCTTCCGGAGCCCAGATGGCTCCTTCTGTGTCATCTAAACTCACCCCCATTTTTGTGATCAAACCCTACCCCTGCCTTTTGGTTCATTCTACCCCAGCAAAACCTCAAGCCTATTTCTTTACCTTTAGTTCAAATTAACTGCAGCAACTTCCTGGCTGGTCCCCCTCCTGCCTATTTTCAATTCCGCTGTCTACACTGGTAGCCAGAGCAAGGTTTTTCATATGCAAATATAATCATATCAGTCCTCCATCAAAAACTTTACTGGCTTCCCATTACCTGTGCGTCGTTTTCAATCTTTTGGTTAATATGCCTGCTTTTAGCAACAGAATCTTGTCAGATGGGATCTTTTTCACAGCCCTAAAATACTCCACAAAGAGAGATATTGCTCAGGGTGAAGGGGTGGGAAGCCCCAGAGCCAGCCTGCTGGGCCTCCCACACTACACACTACACTCTCCCACCCCCTGCAAGACACAGACGTGGTGGCCTCCAAAGCGTGGGCACTGGAGCCCACCCCCAGGCCTGAGGGCTGTTCACCCCCAAGCTTACTCTGCTCATCTCTGCCATTCTCGCCTGCTGTGGCACCTTGTGCTTCAGCCACACTGATGCAGTGACTTCTTCATGCCTTTGCATGTGCTGTCACTCCCGTCTTTGTTCCCACAGGACCTGGGGGAGAGTTTAGGGCACAGTTAAGTGTGCAGGTTCTGGAGTCAGAGGGACTTGGCTGAAATCTGAGCACCATCACTACTACTATCTGTGTGATCTTTTATTTTGTGGGGGGGTTAGGAGAGGTAATTAGGTTTATTTATTTTTAATGGCAGTGCTAGGGATTGAACCCAGGACCTTGTGCATGTTAGGCACACACTCTACCACTGAGCTATACCCCTTAAATGTTTTTCCTTCCAGTTTATTAAGATACAATTGACATACAGCACTGTATAGTTTGGTGGGGGGTAATTAGGTT